TATATATATATATATATATATGTATATATATATATATATATATATATATATATATATATATATATATATATATATATATATTTATATATATATATATATATATATATATTTATATATATATATATATATATGGAGTCCCTTAAACATATAACGAGTTCCTAATATTATCAATAAAAAAAATCTTCAAAAGTGTCTTCAAAAACCTTCAAAAGTTTAAATTTTTTCTTCGCCAAAAAATTTATTGAATAAAAAATTTTTTTTAAGTCCCTCAAGAACCTTAAACATAAATGAGTTCTTGATATTATCAACAAAAAAAAATCTTGACATTTTATTTTTTTTTCTTCGGTGTCTCCGAACACCCCGGTATGGATGAGCCCTCCATTTAAAGGAGGGCTCATCCATTCCGCCATTATGTTTTCATTTATTGAAGGACCTCTCTGGGAGAGGTCCCGGGTGTTGGGAGCGGTAATTTTTGTAATCTTCAAATGATAAGGAAAAGTTACAAAATAGAAAAATATAATAAAAATTATACATTTGCAATTATTAAAAAAAAATATTAGCATAACCTCACCATTTTCATTCGAAACAGAAAATGCTAAAAAAAAAAAAAAAGAGAGCAAATTAATAAGTGTTAAACATGCAACATTTTGTATTTTAATAAATATATAGGGCAATAATGCAACCAGTTCAAAAGTGTCATATTTATTAAATAATTTTTCCACCTATTGCACATATATCTCCATACAAAACATATAAAATATAAAACACAGCCCTACCAGCTATACTTCCACCAGACACTAAAGACAAATGTATACTTAAATAAATATATAATAACCGATAAAATAATGTTAACATATAAATATATACATATCTAAATAATTGTTTTACCCATCCCCCTCATTTCATCCATAAAGTTGTCTAAAGTAAGAAAAAAATAACTAAAGCTAAAAACAAAACTATAAACTAAACCAAAACTATACACTAAAGTAAACTTTAAATCTTCTAAATATTAATGCTTTATTTATTAAACTAAACTAATCATAATTTATACTTAGTTTTTGTTCCACCTCGAAGAAAACAGATATATATACTAAAAAGTATTTTTATTTTTTTTTAAAAATTTAAAAATGCTTTTTAACTTACTTGTTTCAATATTATCACTAACGTCTAAATAGAAAAACAAACAAACATTCAAGTCGACTCATTCTTAAATCTTATAATATATATGATTTTAAAAACCTGAAACTTTAAATCTACCTTAAAGAAAACAGATATATATTGAAAAGTATTTTTATTTCTTTTAAAAAGTTCAAAAATGCTTTTTAACTTACTTGCTTCAATATTGTCATCATCTAAATAGAAAAAGAAACAATCATTTAAGTCGACTCATTTTTAAATCTAGTTTAATTTCTTCAATAATAATAAAAAAATTAAATCTTTGAGGATTAAATTCATTTACAAAAATTCGTTTAAGTTCGTTTAAACCATTTTAATATTGTAAAGTTAATTTAAATTAACAAACATAAAAATGCAATTTATAACATTTGTTTATAACAAAATGAAAGAAAACTTACTTCTTAGTAATTCAGCAACTAAAAATAAACATATATTTAAGAACTAACAACATAACATTATACATCTGTAACATAATACACATCTAAATAAATAAAAACCTTCATCTTCAACCTGATTCATTCTATTAATTCGATATGAAAAATATAAACAAATATGCTTAAAAACAAATTTAATAAAGGTAATAGACATGTTAAAACATAAAAAATGGAAACGATTGAATTGATTATACAGAATATGACCTACTTGATAGGTACGATTAGATGTAAAGAAAATTTATAACGAAAACGCGCTTTTTAAAATAAGTCTGGAAATTCCAATCTTAAAATTCCAGAACAGAAGAAAAACTGCGCACAAACCAAACTGCGCATCACTGAGCGCAGTAACTAAAGTATAAGAGCATTTAACTTTAGTTATGCAAATTACATCACTCATGTTTAATTAAGTACGTTATGATTATCAACTTTAAAAAATGTATAAAATTTAAACTTATTACGCAACTAATCAGTTTATTTACTAATATGTGCAATAAACATATCTGTACATAAAGATAATTTTAGGAGCTAACTTGTCTCAATTCAATTTTTGTGTAAATGAGTTAAATACAAACTTGTCGTATATTCTGTCGGGGCCAAATAGCCTTTTATACTTGTATATATTACATTTTGCTACTAAACATGTTTTAAATTGACTTTAGAGGTTGTTAACGTGACATAATCTCATGTTTGCAAACAAAGCTAACCAGACCCGGTCATGTTAAGCCTTCCAAACTCTGACCATTTCTATATTGAATAGATGGCCTCTTTATTTCAATAATTTTTTGCAAACGGTAAAGTAATTTGCTGCCATTTACTAAATATTCCTTTTATTACTCGGAGTTGCGGTTTCTTCAATATTTTGACATCTCCGCTAATTAAGAGCCCCTCCCCTTTTTTTTGTTTTAATGGTAGCCATGTAAGTAGAGTTTTTTTATTAAGAGTAATCTATTTATGATGAAGACCTTTAACCAAAATAATAAAGCGTAAAACAACGATTTACATATATAAGAATTTTTTCTTTCCTCAAAAGTGTTGCAATTGCAGACTAAACTAATCAACTTAATATTTGACAAACTGCAAGTCCTGTGTTTTTAACAACGAATTATTAAAGCATAAGATAGGGAAAACATCGGAAAAAAATAAATATTAATGTCATTATATCTTTTTAACAAACGAACAAAATTTTACAAATTTAGGAAATCAAGTTTTTTTTTTTATATTGTATTAATACGTCATATGGTAAAATCTAAAATAAAAAAAAGTAACGAATAATAACATCATATATATATATATATATATATATATATATATATATATATATATATATATATATATATATATATATATATATATATATATATATATATATATATATATATATATATAATATATATATAACAGTTTTTCTTCTGTTCTGGAATTTTAAGATTGGAATTTCCAGACTTATTTTAAAAAGCGCGTTTTCGTTATAAATTTTCTTTACATCTAATCGTACCTATCAAGTAGGTCATATTCTGTATAATCAATTCAATCGTTTCCATTTTTTATGTTTTAACATGTCTATTACCTTTATTAAATTTGTTTTTAAGCATATTTGTTTATATTTTTCATATCGAATACTCATAACAATACTTAAGAAAAAAAAATCAAAAAAAGACATAAATTGAATTTTTAGCAAGATTTTGTCTTGGCTTTTAGTAAATGAACAAAAGCAGCAAGTTCCAATAATGAAACTATCTATTATTCATTTTTAACGATAGACACCAACGTGAAGGTAAGCCAAGCTGTTTATCAACACAAAACATCACAACAACACACAACATCACACAACAATATAACAATATTATACATTATAACAATACATTACAACATTATAACAATAACATATAACATTAACACATATTCACACCTATATAACTAATATTTACATCCTTGACTCTAAAATCCAGTGGAAAATAACAAACCGATTTTAAAAGAATATGAAAGGCAAAACTAAAAAACCATTTTTGACTTATCTATATTTACCCTTTTACTAAACTTTAATATAGTATATTTGCTTTTATATTCAATATAAGTTATTCAATTATTTCAAATTTAAGGATCAAGATTGCATGCTCTTTTATACACATTACACAAAACATTACCAGACATTATGTGTTTCCAGAATAATTAAAAAAAGCTAGACAACACAACCTAGCTCTAAAGCAGTAACACCGCCTGGCACAAAATGCTGCCAAGTCACACCTCTGCTATAAGTACACTGCTTGGCTGGCAAGGTAAACAATCTTGCTTAACATTTTGCCAAGTCACACCACTTTAAAAACATGGAAACAACATAATGTAAACATATATACAACTATAAACAAATATGACTTCATATAACACATATAAACACAATATGTAACAATATTAAATGACAAATATATTTATCAAAAACTGTGAAAAAAATAAAAATATTAAAGTTACACATACAAAATGTGCTTTCAACCTACAAACAGTAAATTTTAAAAGAGAAAATATTAAGACTATAAATTAAGAACATTAGAAAATATAACATAATTTGTGTAGTATTTTTCACCTACCATACCTTGAATAGGATGTTTATCAATTTTGAAAAACAAACTATTAAATGCTCTAGTTCTTGAACATGCAACGTATAGTTGACCATGGGAGAAACACGGTTTTTTTAGATATACCCCAACTCTATTAAAAAGTTTGACCTAGACTTTTATTGATTGTCATCGAATAAGCCAATCTAACAGGAAACTGACGACGTTTTATAACAAAAGGTAAATTAGAATCTGATAGAGCCAACTGAATTCGAGGAACAAATACCCGTTTACCTTCAAAAAAACCTGTCAAAACCTCTGCATCAATATAATTGTTTTGGAGAGCACAAACTTTCATTCGGGTTCCATTACAAAGCCCAGCGTTAAGATCTGAATTTCTAAGTAGCATAATTACACAACAAATTTTCAATTTTAAACAATAAGTAGGCATACCTGAAGGAGTTAAGCTGTTCAAAAACTCAACAGGGAAATTATTTATTTCATTAAGATCGTCAGTGTCTATTTGATCAGCACTTAAATAAGTTTTGACCTTTCCATGTAGACGTTCAAGCACTTCTTCATTGATTGACAATGAATCCACATTAGTGGGTGTTAAAATGACACGTTTAGCATAATCATCTTGTTGAGCATCTCCAAATATTTTTTCAACGATTAATTCGTTTTCTCTAATTATGCACTGTTGCGATATTTCCATACATTCCTTAAAAGGATCTTCCTCGTTGACAGGTATTGTTCCACTACCAAGTTTTAACAGCCATTCGGAAAAATCTCCTTCTCCATCACGTACTCTCATATTTTCAGTTAATGTAATCTTCTGCACTCATTGCCACTGTAAAGAGCATTTTATACATGATTCTACAACTTCAGCTTGTCTCCCTCTTTTCACAACAGGCAAAAATTGCCTAAAGTCACCACCAAAAAGAATGACTTGACCTCCAAATGGAAAGTTGTTGTTGCTAACATCTTTTAACAACCAATGGATTGCATTTAAAGCGTGTTTGGGAATAATGGGTGTCTCGTCAAGCATAAACAAACTAACTTGCCTTAAAAATTGTCCCTGAATAGAGTTAGGAGTCACATTACATGTGCTGTTATCCAGTATTGGGACAGGAAGTTTAAATAACCCGTGCAGCGTAGATCCATTTGTAAGAAGATTTGCTGCCATGCCAGTCCATGCAGCTGTAGCAGATTTAACACCCCTACTGCTCATTTCAGCAATCAAATATTTATATGTAACAGTTTTGCCACTACCGGCTGGTCCATCCATAAAAAACAATCTTGAATGTTGATTTTCTACACATGGTTGCTCGTTCAATGCAGCAAGGACAGCATTACTTACATTTAATTGATTGACATTAAGAAGCGGTCACATTTTATTAGCTTCGTCAATTGATTGCCGAAAATTTTCATTTAAATTTTCTAGATTAAAATCTATGAATTTATCAACAACAGGCAAATTACAATCAGATAGCGTTTTACCACTATGATTAAAAATCTTTTCGATTTGAGGAAGAGTAGCTTGTTCAGCTAATATAAATAAAACTTAGCGATGAATGAAATCCTCCATCATAAAAGCTTTGTATGAATTCCAAAGATGCAAAGGGTCATTAGATTTACAAAAGGTTAAAATAATTGAAAACAGCTGCCTGATTTGCTTAGGCATTCGCGTTAAAACTGCCTCAGAAAGAGTATTCTGCCATTAAATGTCATCTTGCAACAAACCATTAAAAACACACGCTTCACGAAAGGTTTCAAGAACAATTCCATTAACAGTACGCAAATCCTCCCAAGATGTTGCTCCATTTTGCTTGTAAAAGTAACAATCTAAGAAAAATTAATTCTCCTGTTGGACTAACTTTATACATTCTTACTATCACCTTATTTCCACCTCTTTGTCTAACCTTCCATTTACAATGTTTATCATCAAATACAAAGTGATATGGAATGTCAACATATAAGTAGCGATGGGCTCTTTCATTTTCAGAATTCAATTTAAACCAGGCCGTAAGGTGTGTATCACGTTGAGCAGCACGATCTAAAGCCACTTGTTCTTCGTTCTTCTCCTTCTCTAAAATATACAATCTGTTTCTCAGGAAGATGAACCTTAAGACGGATAATAGTGTGTGACATATGACTTATGGGATACTCAAATATTCGCCACAGTGCCTCAGGTGCACTAACATAACGACAATCCAAGAAAGTGTTTATTTCATCGTGATTAACCTGTTCATTTATCAAAACATTCGCACAATCATGCCCTTTGTATATGTATTTGTACAAATATTTTACAGCCTTTACAGAAATGCAAGCTTCAATATTAATGTGGGCTTGATATTTTTTTGATAACCAAGGATTATAAGGTACCACCCAACGGTTATCTACTTTGTTGCCTTTAATATTGATAACCAACCCATTATCACGAAGCCTATAGCGTGGATAACCATTGCGAACAGCTACTGTGTTGGCATTAAAATCTTTAGGATAATTTTCGCTGCACACCCCATCTTTCATGCAGGGAGAATTTGGATTCAGTATCTCACATGGGCCGTGAATCATGCAAGTTTTGATAATATCATAAAGTTCACGATTAACCATCGGATCTGGAATTTCTGCACAAATCAAATTATCGATATCCTGTGATGTTTCAAGTTTATCATCATTTGCTAAATGAAGTAAAATGTGGGCAAGCGGCAAACCACGCTTTTGAAACTCAATAACCTGAACATGCGTTACAACTTTGCCTAATACACCATGTTTAAATATATCATTGATGAGGTTATTTAACTTGAGTTTAAATACTTGAGTAACCAAATCAGTTCTATCATTCGCATTCTGACCCGGATATAAATTTTACGTTATTTTACGCCATTTTGGGTTGCAAGTAAAAGTAATAAAAAGATCTGGTTTACCATACTTTTTAATAATTGCCACAGCATCTTCAAAGTTTTCTTTTAAATCTCGTCCTGGTCTAATATTACGATCATTGGCAATATTGTTAATATGTTCATGTAAGGCATCATACTGCTCGCTTCTCAGCTTATTTGATTATTTCTGATAAAAGCAAGACGCTGGCCTTCAATTTTAACATATGCATCTACAACATATTGCTGAAAAAGTTTCTTGCCATAAAATAATGAACAGAAAAATTGCCTAACAGAAAGTCTATAATTGTAGAACTGAGATAATGTAACATGATTTCTAATCAGTGTGGCACGCTCAGGGTTATGCACCAACTGATTATGCCAACCAGCATCACCTCTTGGGAAAATTAGCGGGTAAACCATAGGATCCAAGTTGGCTGACATACTTAATACAATTTTTAAAGGATGAACTCTTGGCTAAATAGCAACTTCCCTGGAAGTTGGGGGAGCACCATCTTCGCCAACAAATACAACTGCAACTTCATCATGTGAAGGTAGATTATAACGACGTCTATCACCGCCTTCAAGTAAAGACATTTTTACAACAGTTGCTGAGCGACCTTTTATAGCCGCCTTACGAATTTCTTTTTCTTTTACTTCAGCCATATTTTTAAATGCAAGAGCAAATGGACTTTGTCCCATAATTATTGTTTGCAATTGAAACATTAAATCAGGTAAACAAAGATCATTGCCACGTTGTTGCATTCTAAAATTTAGTGCAGCAAGTGGATCATAAAAATATAGTGGAGAATATATTGGTGGAATATCTTGATCTGGCCTAAGATTACCTACACGATGGAAAATCTAGCCACATATTTTAAACATGGAAGCCCATGATTCATTGGTTGAACTACATTTGCTGTAAAAAAAGCAAAAGAAAAGCAGGCATTATAATTTCGAATATGTTTTAAAAAATTAGTATTAGCATTACGATCTACATAACTCCCTGTAAACAAATCCTGTAAAGCTTGTGTAATTGGTAAAAATGGAGGCAAAGCTACCTTATCAATATGGCAACATAGAAAATGTGTTTTATCTGGAAACTTCTAAGCACCACAGTGCTGACAAATTTGATTCATTTCTCCAAAATAATTATAATATCGAATAGCATTACTTCTTGCTGTAGAATACATTCGTCCTTGTCCAACCGGTCTTCTTTCATTTTGGCGACGATTAATATTATCTCAATCTAGACTATTTCTATCATTTTGTACACGATTAATTTCATCTTGCCAAAGTCTATTTCTTTCATTTCGTCTACGATTATATTCAACACGCCTTATAGCACTTACACCATCTTGTAAATACATAACTTCATCTAGCCTATCATCCATTTCAATGTCATCACTTTCATTAAAAAATATTTATCAAAGCAACACTAATTATTTCTTTTTTTTTTACTAATCTAAAGTTAAAAATAAAATTAAAAAACTTAATAACTAAAAAAATCATACTCAAAAAATTAAAAAAAAAAATTCTCAAATAAATATATACAAAGAAACCAAACAAATGCAAAATAAAATTAATTTGCCATCATCAAAATTAATACAGGTTTCTTAAGTTTATTTGATAGAAGTTAAGAAAAACCTGCAACGCATCAGCAAAAACAAATTAAAAAAAGTTAAAATTTATTTTATTTCTACTAAAAAAAAAAAAAATTGCGACAGCGTCATAGTTCATGCGATGGAAGAAAACATTGAACAAAACACGTAATAAAACTTATTAACGCATTATGTTCAATAGAAAACAGGTTATTAACGCGGGTTTATAAATTTTTTCTCCTAACACACTATTATGCTGCCGCAACTCCAAGGATATATATAGTTATATATATAGTTTTATATAAAGTTTTATATATATATATATATATAAATATATATATATATATATATATATATATATATATATATATATATATATATATATATATATATATATATATATATATATATATATATATATATATAATATATATATATATATATATATATATATATATATATATATATATATATATAAATATGAACATATATATATATACATATATATATATATATATATATATATATATATATATATATATATATATATATATATATATATATATATATATATATATATATATATATATATATATATATGTATATATATATATATATATATATATATATATATATATATATATATATATATATATATATATATATATATATATATATATATATATATATATATATATATATATATATATGTATATATATATATATATATATATATATATATATATATATATATATATATATGTATATATAGAACATATATATATATATATATATATATAGAACTATTTATTAGTGAAAACATATGATAAACAAATTTTTTTATATAATATATATAGTATATATTTGATAAACAAACCTCTACACTTTCTTTTGTTCAACAACTCGATGATGATGAATAACAACTCTGTTAACATGAATTTTCTAATAATTTAAATCTTAATAAATTATAAACAATAAATTACTTATTCAAACAAATAATTACTTATTAAATTTTAAAAATATTTCATATATACTTAATGTCTACTTAGACATTGAAAAGATCTACAATTTTGAAAAAAAAACAGATATATATTAAAAAGTATTATTTCTTTTTAAAATTTAAAAATGCTTTTTAACTTACTCCTTCCAATTATATATTATTATATAATTTATAGTATAAACTGATAAATAAACCTCTACAATTTCCTCGGTTTAAAAACTTGATTGAGACTAAATAACAACTCAATAAACATGAATTTTCTAATAATCTAAATAAATTATAAACAATTAAACTTAAATAAAAATGTATGCAAATGATAAATGCTATATTAAGTACAGAAAAACAAACATATAATAACACAATTATATCCTAAACCAAAGTGCAAGACAAATTATTATATATTTATTAAAAAGCCAGAAACATACTGTTTTTCAAAGAGCCAAAGTATTAACAATACTATAGATAAATTTTATTTATAAAAAAATGTTGTCATGGCTTTTAATCCAATTATTAAAAGCACGTGAAAGCATATTTTAAGCATATAATATCTATATTTTCAATATTAACATCTATAACACGAAGTTTTAAATTTAAAAGTACAATTTAAAAGAGATTAAAATAAATTAATTATAAAATTTTAAAAAGATTTTACCTATCTACTTAAATTAAACATAATCTACTTAGACATTTTAAACTCGTACCATGAAAAGTTGCGACTTCTTTAAGAGAGCACGTAGGTAAGAAAAGTAAAGAAAATACTTAAAAAGTGTATTTTACAAAATTCAGAACCGTACCATAACTATAA